GTGTGTGTTGTGTGTCACGAGTGTTGTGTGTCACGAGTGTTGTGTGTCACGAGTGTTGTGTGTCACGAGTGTTGTGTGTCACGAGTGTTGTGTGTCATGAGTGTTGTATTTTTCCAAAAAATTACAATGAAAGAGGTGGGGGCTTGCACGGTATCAGAGTTGGAAGTAGTGAGAAAATGGCTGCCTAGTCTAGGTTTGGGGACTCCCAGAGCTTGAACGTCCCTGGAAAGTCTGAAAGTTTACTTTTTTTGTAGTTCCTTTTATCTACGTATTTTTTTTAGTAAAATCCACCCAGAAGTGTGTTTTTAAATGGACATTTAAAAAAGTATGAGTCTAAGCGCATAAACAAAAAGAAGAGAAATAACTGAAAATTGGGGTTTGTTTTAATTAATTTATAAAAATTGTCCAACAGGCAGAAATCTAGTTGTTTCTTGGATTTTGTTTTTTAAATGAGCGTCTGATTTCATTTTGTTGTCGCACACATGTGTATACATCATCATTTTGTGTTGCGTGTGAATAATTAACTTTTTTTTAGATTGTTATAATTATTAGAAGAGACATTCTCTTTACGAAGATCTGTGGAAAGCAAGCTTTTAGGGACTTACATGTCAAAGGAAAAAAAAGAAAGGGACTCTCTTTTTCTGGTAGCCTGCCAATATTGAATTACATGTATACGTATTATCATTTTGTACACCATGAGTTGTAAGATCAATTTTAATTTTTTTTTTTCTTTTTGCTTATTTAAATTTAAATTTTTAAATTTTTTTTAATGATTTTTTTTTTCTTGTATAAGTCAAAAGTTGTCCTGATTCTGATGTTGTTTTGGTTATGATAATAATTGTATATAATTGCATATATATTGCACATATTCACACTCTGTCTACGACATGCTTTATGCACTTCACAACCATTATGACCCCCAGCACACCCTAGAACACTAGATCTGATCACAAGACATTTTCGGCTTCCTGTGAAGCATACAGTGCAAGCTGCGGGTTGCACACACACACGCACACACACGCACATATGCACACACACACACACACATGCACACACACATGCATACACACACACACACACAAACACACATATGCACACACACACATACACATGCACACACATGCACACACACACACACACACACATGCACACACACACACACACACACAT